TTTCCCAACTTTATTTCCAGATGGGAAAGGTGATCCTACTAATCAAGGACTTCTGAGAGATGTCACTCTTCAGGAACGAATAAAGCATCTTCTAAAATTTGCTGAAATTATCGATGGCAAATTGGTATACCGTTTTGCTAACCACCCCAGATTTTCATATTGGCCTTTTAATATGATTCAAAGAAAACGAATTTTACAACAAAGTGGAATATTCCTCAAACAGAACCCAGGAGAAGCTCATCTCACAATTGAAGAACTGCGTGAAATGGCTGCCAGTAACAATGCTAGTGTATTTATGTCTAAAGTGTCGAGATATGTTGGCAATATTGCAGGTACTAATGCTTACTGGAATAGAGTAAGAGAGGAACTCAAAGCTATCATAACTAGTGTCGGAGCACCAACATTATTTTTCACTTTCTCCTCTGCAGATATGCATTGGCCTGAGTTACATGTTTTATTTAAAGCTGACAATGAGTTAGGTAATTCTACCAGTGATGTAAGACGACAGAATGTGATAAACAATCCTCCTGTTGTAGATTGGTTTTTCACAGAAAGATTATAAAGCTTTGTAAAACACTGGCTTTATGATACACTTGGTGCAAAATGGCACTGGTTTCGATATGAATATCAAGGTAGAGGTAGTATCCATTGTCATGGTACTGCTAAACTAAATAATGACCCAGGTTTGTGTCAACTTACTCAAACTGCTTTGAAAGGTTTCTTAGCTCAAAAATTTAAAGATGAAAATGATTGTTCTGACACAACTGAACTAGACCAGGATATTGAAACTGGACAGAAAGCAACTGACACAGTATGTCAGTATGTTGATTGGTTATTATCAACCATCAATCCTAATCCACCAGATGAGGACATGTGGATAAGACCTGAGGTTCATCCATGTCAAAGAAGTCATCATGACATTCCTGAGCATGAAAAACAATCAGATTATGTAGATCTTTTGAACATGGTTCAACGACACACTCGTTGTAGTACAAGTTATTGTCTTAGAAAGAAGTCAAATGAAACGGAGTTGAAATGTAGATTTCACTTCCCTTTTGATATTTGTCCTAAGACAAAATTCGAATTTGAAAAAATTCACACTTCAGGTGATAATGAGCATTATCGAGCTAAGATTGTGACTAAACGAAATGAATCTAGATTAAATAATCATCAACAACTTCAGCTCCAAGGATGGAGAGCTAACTGTGATATTCAAGTTGTTATTGATCACTATGCTTGTGTTGAATATCTCACGAAATATGCAGCGAAAGGTTAGCCAAGATCACCTATATTAAAACAAGCATTCAATTCTATTGTGCAAAATGTTGACAGTAATACTGATAGAAAGTAGTTTATGAAATTTCTTGGTGAAAGAGATTATGCAGCTCAAAAGACAATGCATCATTTGTTGTCTTTAAAACTCCACAGCTCATCCTTTAAAGTAATGCCAGTTAGTCTAAATGGTTCACGTAGAGTGCGTGATGCTGCAAGCTAGTATTGACGAGAGTGAATCGTGCACCCATTGTTCACTTCTTGATGTGTATGCTAATCGTGAACAATATGAGAGTTCACAAAATATAATAAATATGAACTTTGTTCAATTTGCTACAACATACAAAGTTGTTAACAATGAACTGACAAAAATTGCCAGAGAATATTATACCGCGAATATTTCCAACATATTCTCCTAATGCCAAAGGTCCAAATTTTGGCCTATATTGTAAATATCAACTTTTGCGGTATAAACCATGGAGAACAACCCAAAATAATGCATGGGGTGACCAAGAACCAACTGACGAGGTTCTGATCAACTGTTGGCATGAATTTTTACAAACACCTTATGGACAGTGTAATGTCCCAGACTGGTTTGATAAATTACAAGCTGCTATTCAAAGTCAAGAAGCAGAAGGTGAACCTGCTGACCAACAGGAGACAACTCGAGAAGAATGGATGATATTATCAGACCTCAACACTCCTTTTGACAACTCTGAACAAACACCAGAGTCCACATATGACTGGCATCTTGACAGAGCCAATTATTCAGAACAACAAATCCAAGAAATGCCAACATGGATAAAAACGAACAAAGAGGAATACACTATTGATGAGCAATATGATGTTACATCATATTGCTCATCAATAGATTGATGTTGTTGACATCAACAGTTTTAGTGAAATGCAAAAACTTGCTTATGATATTGTTAAGTCTCATTTTCATGATACATCATCCGAAAAAGAGCCATTATGTCTCATTATAAATGGTGTTGCAGGAACTGGTAAAAGTTACCTTATTAATGCCATTAGAAATCTTTTGCAAAGTAAATGTGCTGTTACTGCTACCACAGGTAAAGCTGCTTATAACATTAGAGGTGTAACTGTGCATTCTCTATTAAAGTTACCTATAGGATCAAGAGGTAATAAAGACCTGACAGGACAAAGCTTGTGTAGGTTACAAGAGAGTGTTAATAACATTGGATACATCATTATTGATGAATACTCTATGCTTGGCCAAGTCACTTTTGGTTGGATAGACAAGCGTTGCAAACAAGCAACTGGTTCTAATGACAAAGTATTTGGAGGAAAATCATTGATTTTAACTGGTGATCCAGGTCAATTGCCACCAGTAGCAGATAAACCTCGTTACCATGCTAAACCATCAAACGCTGTTGGTGAACAAGGCCATCAAGCATATCATAAGTTTGACAAAGTTGTTAAACTCACTGTAAATCAACGTGAGCAAGATATGACATCTGAGCAAGTACAGTTCAGAGATTTGTTATTACGACTTCGCAAAGGTGATTCAACAGTTGATGACTGGAAGTTACTTCTGACACGTCAACCATCGAATGTTACTAATTTATGTGACTTTGAAGATTCTACTAGACTTTTTTATAGTAATGAACAAGTTGCTAATTACAACCATGAGCAGCTAACAAAACTTGAGCATCCAATTGCTCATATTAATGCTCGCCATTCATCAGCATTTGCCAAAAAGATATCATCAGATGATATGTCTGGGTTAGAACCTGTTGTGTTTCTAGCAAAAGGTGCAAGGGTCATGTTAACCATGAATTTGTGGTCAAGTGTTGGTCTCTGTAATGGGGCTAATGGGACAGTTGTTGATATTATCTATCAGAACAACCATTAACCACCTGACTTACCCATTGCGGTAATAGTAGAATTTGAAAACTATAGAGGACCTTTTTTTAATGAAAACCAACCATTTTGTATCTCAATATATCCAATCACTGTCACATCCCAGACAGAAATAGGTTTCCATGTGAGGCAACAGTTACCTCTTAGGCTTGCGTGGGCTCTAACAATACACAAGAGCCAAGGACTTAAACTTCCAAAAGCATGGATAGATATTGGCAAATCTGAAAGAACTGCTGGGGTTTCGTATGATGCTATTAGCAGTAATAGCAGAGTAAAATCACTTGCATCTTGTGTCATTGAGCCAATGACGTATGAACGATTAACAAGCTTGAAATCATCAGCTAACTTACAATATAGGCTTGAAGAAGAAAACAGGTTAGATCAGTTAGCACAAACTACTAGCAGTGCAGTTACTATTGAGTTTGAATAAGAGAACTATTGAGTTTTAATAAGAGAGGGATTTCATATATGGATCCCAGTTATATTTTGGAATGTAGTATGACTATATACCCTTTTAAATAATTTAATTTATTATATAATAACTAATTTACTCCTTGTTATCACTGTATGTATGAAAATATTATGATTTGCAAGATGAAAGAATGGTAAGTTTTTTATTTGTTTAACCCCTGCCCTACTTTTATTTTCATTCATTTATGTGCTACTATGTTTATTTGTATAATATCTCATGCTGGTAATTATTTTTTCTATAGTTTTGCAATTCCGACGGATGTGAATGGTACCATCAGATGTTAACTGCTGGATGAAACCAAATGGTTGTTAAAGTCAAAATATAATATGGATATATTACATCACATGAAAATGGATGGGAGCTTCTGGATTAACAGAAATGTATTTCTATTAAAACAAGAATGCTGATTTACAAGATTGTATGGATATATTACATCTAATGCAATGGGATGGAATCTGCCATGTATTATTATTGCCGTACCTGTTTCCAATCTACCATATGGGTGTCAGGAACATTGTATTTGTATGTGAAGATGTTACATATATACTGTACCTTCTGGACAATACTGATGGCCAACAATGGACACTACCTGTACACTACCTGTGCATGCTAATAAATACAAAACATTTATATATTGGACAAAAAAACAATAGTAGGACTTGTTTACCAAATGGCAAATACGGCAGACAGTGAACTATCGTTACTTGGAAAGAATATGAAAACGTGCAACAATCCATCAACAATCAACAGTCATATCACGTTAAAAGACATATTGTGTATATTCCTAATTATGTTCTTATAGACGTTCAGACAAATGAAGATGATTTAAATTTGAAACATTGATACCAACAATCACGTGCATACTTGTAAATATGAAAATCCGAAGTACACTTTACAGTATATATAGTAATTATTGCATGTTGTAATTTCGATATTTTTTAAACAAAATAAATTTCATACATACATGCAGAGTGTATAAGGCAATTTAAAATTTAAATAAACGAAGTTTATTGGTATAATCAATCCCCAGGGCTTTGGGCGTAAAGGCAGCACTTCGCTTGCGATAGTAACTTCTAGTAATAGCAATTGCTGGTGGGTTTTTTCCGTACGTTAAAAAGAAAATTTAAAAACTGCTGTATCATATTAATAAGAACTAGTGAAGTATGATCGTTACGTGATTTTGTTTTGATCAATTTTGAAATGTACGTGCAGAGTATGCAGATGTGTCATTTCTTTTCTTAACTTATAGTTTCTGATAAAATAAAGAACTATAGCTAGATAATAAAAAAAAACACTTTAATGCAAAGATTTTATGTTTTTCGGTATCCTCCAACATTAATAACCTCTACAGTGTATTAACTACAAAATTATTTTGTTTTGAGTTTTGTTCCTTATTGCTAATAAATATGCGGACTTTCCTCTGTGTGACAGATGCGTGATAAAAATTGCGCACAGTTAAAAGTAGAATTTCTTTTGGAAAGCTATTAACACCAGAGTACCTGCTTAGATATTTTTGAAAGCTTAATTAAAAGACAAGGTTTTATATATGGTCCGTATCATTTGTTCACTTCTAATTACAAAGTTTTAAATCAATTCGGAATTGTCGACAATGACTACGAAACTTTAAAGTTAAACTACGCTACAAACGCTAGTTTATGGGAGAGAGAAAGTATCTGAAAACCTTAAAGAAATGATCAAATAAAGAGTTCTAAGTATATCAAAAGATGTATAAAACATGCACCTACAAGTCTTTGAGGTGAGACATTCTTTATTTAACACCTTTTGGGTTGTTTATGTCTTAATATTCTTATAGGCAAGATTTTCTCTGAGAGACAAAATGGCGGCCGTTCACTGCTTCGAAGTACGCACTTCAAAGTCAAAATTCTATAGGAAAGCTACCGTTCTGAACGTCTCCAAGACAGTTTTTGAAAGCTAAAACGCTAAGCTTTCATATGCGATCAGTTTCGTTTGTTCCCCTGAGATGAGTATTAGACTCAAATTTTCGGCTTCTAGGTGATGGACTATTGTGTCTTTCAGCATTGTTTCCATAATACAACAAATATCAATTTTGTCATGTTGAAGAAAAACACGGACACAGTTCCTGAATTTTTGGAGTCAGTGACATTACGTTAGTTAAACAAAATGTAGGTACAAAATGGGTTGGCTCAGCCGTGGGTTCTAATAGTAATGATTGAACCAGTTTATTATGTCCTTCCGCCGGGTGTGTACGCAAAAACCCTGACGAGAATTGAATGCAATATTGGAGTTTCTTGCTTTCCAAAAGGGTTCCCTATACGCGTCGAGTTTGGGTGTCCCTTTTGAGTAATACGAACAGGAATGCGTTGGCAACCGTTTTGATTATCAGACTGTATGGCGACACGTTGTTGCCCAGTGTTCAATTTATCATAATTGTTTGGGCCGTGAGAGGTATATGTGTCCCAAGCGATTTTATTTGTGAATTACATGGTTTGCCATCGCACTTGTTCTGCACTTGGCAAAAAGTTCTGGAATAAACAGTTTTGTCCATTCTGATCGGACTGCCTATTATCCCCGAGCCGGCGGCGCGAAGTGCCGTGCGAGGGTACGAATTCCCCCCGGCTATTTACACCCGTGGAAAGGGAAGCATTAGCCAAGTCTAAAGTTCATCAATGAGCGCGGGCGTCGGTCACCAACCGTCGGTGGTCATCCTCACTGATCTCAAAAATATGGCTGTTTGCCAGGAGTGGGATAAGCAAGATTTCAATTTTCAAAAGCAAATATTTGGAAAATCACGTTTCACACAATGAGCTTTGAAGCAAATTTTGTTTGAAGAAATGAGAAGATTTGATTTACTGTGAAAAATCGTCGAATATAGGGCAAGTTTGCTTTGAATGTTTAATGCTTATGATTTTTGATGCTTTAATTTATTGCGTAAAACATGCACTGCTTTTCTTTTCAATGAAGCTGTATTAAAGTTTGCTAAATTACCCTGTTTAATTTAAGAATAAAAGGTAAAATGTAAAGGAGAGCAAATTCATTTGAAAACCGAACTGAAATTACCCAACAATTTGAACTTATTTTGTTTTATAAACTATATAAAAACGCGTACAGTTTTATATCGGGAAAAAGCAGTTTATAGTTTAATATTAAAATGAACATTTCAAAACATTTTACGAAGCGATTCACGTTAAATTTTACATTAAATCAAAGCTCGCAAAATGCAGAACAACATATCTACAGTACATATTTCGGAAATTCATTGTTATATAGTTAAAAGCAAATATTAATAGTAGTAAATTTATCGTGTTGCCATGGCAACACTGACGTAAACGCGAGCCTGCGTTCAGTCACATGCAGATTCAGTGTTAATCAATTACTAATACTTCATGTTAAATAAATGTTTGGAAAATACATGCGAGGGCTTGCTGCATGCATGTATTTCTAGTTATGTCTCAGATATTCGGCTGGAACTCCGCGCGATTGACATATTGTTTCGGTCCTTGCGTGATCATTATGGAGAGGGCAATGTTCGATATTGTTTGATGGTTTTATGTAAAGGTCATCAGACATGGAAAAAGGCTTCGAATTAGAGTAAATATTCACATGATCACTTGTTTTGCTTTTGTATATACTTTACAGCCATTTTTAAAAATGCTAATGCGAAATTATCCATATATAATATATATATATATATATATATATATA